GTGTGTGTTGTACAGTGATGATGTGTGTCGTACAGTGATGATGTGTGACAAACAGTGATGATGTGTGACAAACAGTGATGATGTGTGATGATGTGTGACGTACAGTGATGATGTGTGACGTACAGTGATGATGTGTGTCGTACAGTGATGATGTGTGTGACGTACAGTGATGATGTGTGTCGTACAGTGATGATGTGTGTCGTACAGTGATGATGTGTGACAAACAGTGATGATGTGTGACAAACAGTGATGATGTGTGACGTACAGTGATGATGTGTGTGTCGTACAGTGATGATGTGTGTCGTACAGTGATGATGTGTGTCGTACAGTGATGATGTGTGACAAACAGTGATGGTGTGTGTCGTACAGTGATGATGTGTGTCGTACAGTGATGATGTGTGTCGTACAGTGATGATGTGTGACAAACAGTGATGGTGTGTGACGTACAGTGATGGTGTGTGACGTACAGTGATGGTGTGTGTCGTACAGTGATGATGTGTGACGTACAGTGATGATGTGTGACGTACAGTGATGGTGTGTGACGTACAGTGATGGTGTGTGACGTACAGTGATGGTGTGTGTCGTACAGTGATGATGTGTTGTGCAGCTCTGCTGAGCATCGTTTCAACCTGTTTCTGTCCATGTTTGACCTGACAACAGCACCGTCCTGTCATTGGCTGTGCTCTGGTTTTTATGATGACCACAGTGACGCAGCAGTTTGGTTTCTCTTGGTTTGTCACACAGCTCATGTTTTTCTACTTGTTTCAGTGTGTATCAGCTCTGGTCCAGCCTCTTGGTGTTTGTGCTGAGTACTTAAACTCCAGCCTGGTCCAGGTGAGCCAGCAGTCATGTGTTTATGATGATTTATAAATACACACAGGCATTGGAAGTTCCTTATGTTTTCTCTGGTGTTCTTGTTTTATTTGACAGATCTTATTTTTGTTACTCCAGTGACATTTTTCTCCACAGGACTCAAAGTTTCATGTTTTTTATTGTTTGATTGTTTATTTTTTCCTCTAGCCCATGCTTGATCCGGTCATACACAAGACCATCAAATACGTGCAGAACCTGGAGGAAAAGGACCTCAAAGATAAGGTAGACTCTTAGTTTAAAAGGTCTGGTGTAAAAAGTCCTCTGCTTGGTTAGAAAGTGCAGTAAAACAGCCACATGTTCAGTGATGAAGAACTGAGTGCAGAGCTGTAATAACAGGCCTTTCCTGAAGACCACTGTCAATAAACTGTCTGCTTGTGATTAATTAGTGTAACTGTGACACCAACATGTTATAAACGAGTCAACTGTCCTTCCATCCCAGCGTCTAGTGAGCATCCCAGACCTGCTGTCAGCCATCAAGCTGCTGTGCATGAGGTTCCAGAGGGAGTTGGTGGCTGTGGTGGATGACCTGAGGCTGGACACGCTGCTGCGCATGCTCAAAACCCCCCACTTCTCCACCAAGATGAACTCGCTCAAAGAGGTCCGCTGTCCATGGATTCTAGATTACAACTTGATGTTAACACCTTGGAGTTTACACCTTGTTGTTTACACCTCGATGTTTACACCTTGATGTTAACACCTTGTTGTTTACACCTTCGTGTTAACACCTTGATGTTTACACCTTTTTGTTTACACCTTGATGTTTACACCTCATTGTTTACACCTTGATGTTTACACCTTGATGTTTACACCTTGTTGTTTACACCTTGATGTTTTCACCTTGATGTTTACACCTCGATGTTTACACCTCAGTGTTTACACCTTGTTGTTTACACCTTCATGTTAACACCTTGTTGTTTACACCTTGTTGTTTACACCTCGGTGTTTACACCTTGTTGTTTACACCTTGATGTTAACACCTTGATGTTTACACCTCGGTGTTTACACCTTGTTGTTTACACCTTCATGTTAACACCTTGATGTTTACACCTCGCTGTTTACACCTTGTTGTTTACACCTTCATGTTTACACCTTGTTGTTTACACCTTTCTGTTTACACCTCGGTGTTTACACCTTGCTGTTTACACCTTGTTGTTTACACCTTGTTGTTTACACCTCGGTGTTTACACCTTGCTGTTTACACCTCGGTGTTTACACCTTGCTGTTTACACCTCGGTGTTTACATCTTGCTGTTTACACCTTGTTGTTTACACCTTTCTGTTTACACCTCGGTGTTTACACCTCGGTGTTTACACCTTGCTGTTTACACCTTGTTGTTTACACCTTTCTGTTTACACCTCAGTGTTTACACCTCGCTGTTTACACCTTGTTGTTTACACCTTGTTGTTTACACCTTGGTGTTTACACCTTGCTGTTTACACCTTGCTGTTTACACCTCGGTGTTTACACCTCGGTGTTTACACCTTGCTGTTTACACCTTGATATTTACACCTTGCTGTTTACACCTCGGTGTTTACACCTCGCTGTTTACACCTTGCTGTTTACACCTTGTTGTTTACACCTCGGTGTTTACACCTTGCTGTTTACACCTTGTTGTTTACACCTCGGTGTTTACACCTAGGTGTTTACACCTTGCTGTTTACCCCTTGTTGTTTACACCTTTTTTACACCTTGCTGTTTACACCTTGATGTTTACACCTCAGTGTTTACACCTTGCTGTTTACACCTTGGTGTTTACACCTCGGTGTTTACACCTTGCTGTTTACACCTTGTTGTTTACACCTTGATGTTTACACCTTGCTGTTTACACCTTGTTGTTTACACCTCGGTGTTTACACCTTGCTGTTTACACCTTGTTGTTTACACCTCAGTGTTTACACCTTGCTGTTTACACCTTGTTGTTTACACCTTGTTGTTTACACCTGGTGTATAGTCTTTTTGACATCTTTCTGTCTGTCAGGTTACTAAACTAATAGAAGAGAGCACCGTGTCTAAAACAGTGAAGAATGCCATCGACACAGATAAACTGCTGGACTGGCTCGTGGAGAACTCGGTCCTGTCAATAGCTCTGGAAGGTAGGAACAGACGGACTGGACCCTGCAACACATAAAACAGAAAGCAACACGTGTAAATATTTTCTGTCAGTCTGATAATGAGTGTGTGAAGCCTTAAATACTTTGTGTTTTAGGAAACATTGACCAGGCACAGTACTGTGAACGGATCAAGGGAATCATTGAGCTGCTGGGGAGTAAACTGTCTCTGGATGAACTCACCAAGATCTGGAGAATACAGGTACAAACTAAATCCTTAATAATGTCAAACATGTTTTGTTTTCGTCCTCTACAAACTGTTCATCAGACATGTCTGAAATGTGGAGGTGACCTGCCAGCAGGTAGTGATGTTTGTTGGGTTTTTCAGGCGGGCCAGTCATCAACTGTGATTGAAAACATTCATACAATTATTGCTGCTGCTGCTGTGAAGTTCAGCTTCGACCAGCTCACCCACCTCTTCGTTCTCATCCAGAAGGTGACGTTTGAACTGATCAGGAGTTTGAACTGAGAAGTCTTGAGTTGTGTTAAGTTGTGTGTGTGTTCTCAGAGCTGGGAGGTGGAGAGCGATCGTGTTCGTCAGAAGTTACTCAGTCTGATTGGGAGAATAGGCCGTGAAGCTCGCTCTGAAACCACCACAGGAAAGGTGTGTTGGTTTTATTTGTTTCATCACTAYCTGTTGTGTCTTTACACAACACAGTTTCTGGATTCTTCTTGACATGAAAACAAAACAACAAGCTCCAACCTTTCCAGCTTCATTATAAATGTGTGTAAGTGTCGAGCATGGTGTGTTTGTGTGTCTGTGGAGGTGCTGGAGGTGCTGTGGGAGCTGGCCCACCTCCCCACGCTGCCGACCAGCCTGGTTCAGCAGGCGCTGGAGGAACACCTGGGGATTCTGAGCGACGCCTATGCTGTCAAGGAGACAGTGAAACGCAGTTACATCATTAAATGTATCGAGGACATCAAGAAGGTGAGACAGAGCCGTCACAGTCTGGTAGGAAGTTCATGTTGCTGTTTTTACTTTGTTTACACACACATACATACATCAGGCAGATCTGGACCCAACACTGCAGAGACAGTGTAGCTGTGAACCTAACTCATTCATGTCCTTTATTCTTTATTACCTGTCAGTTCTGATTTAACTCTGTTTGACTCAATGACTGCACTTATATATAGAAAACAGTTATATACTGACAATACAATACACAACAGTACTATAATAAATACCTACATTGATTTTATTTTAAAATATACACATGTCCTTCAAATTTACAACATAGAGCCTACAATATATTTTAACTTTAACACATATAAAACACATACCGTATATATTAACAAATATAAAACACACACGTATATATATATTAACACATATAAATCAGACATATATACAGTATATTAACACATATATTAAAACATATAAAATTGATATGAAAATTATGTAAATACTCTATCTTACAGAACAACGAGCTCTGGTAAACTTTAAACATATTGCACATAGTAATATTCACTGACTAGTCTTAACAT